TTCTTTTATTGTAATGTTTCTATTTAGATAGCTTTTAGCTATTTTTTTAATAGGTATGTTGGTCAGCAACAATCTCAGTTTTCCTTCATCTGAGAAAGTCTTTATTATATTTCATTTTTTTTGGTACCTAGTTTCTAATGCATGTCCAAACCATGGGCTGCTGATTTCCTGCTCTCTCATGTGCACTTTGGAGGGTGGCCTATAGTTTGCTTGTCAGTCCCAAAATAGCTCTGGCATGGCTAACCAGCAAATTCCTCTGTAATTCAGTGCCTGAACCATACCTTCTGCAATGAGATCTGAATCCCTCCCAAGTTTGTCCTTCATAGTCACTATCCCTTAGCTCTAGAGTAGATTCACAGATACACTCATTTATGTTAAACTTCTCCTGTTTAACATACAATTTCTATTCCTGGACCCAGAGAGATATTTCTCTAACATTTCAAAGTATCATTATCTCTATTTTATTGAAAAGGGAAAACAAAGGTTAGAACACTCTTGCTCTGAGTGATTAGGGGCCAAATCAAAGTTCTACAGGTAGTATTTAAAAGATCTAGAATTTCAATTCAACCCTGGTCTATCTGATCCATCTCTGGCCATTACACCCAAATTGTTCACCCTTAGGGCTTCCATCTATTCCACACATTCTTCCCATACTGAACTTCATCTTTTTGCCTTTCAACTTCTCTTTGAAATTCTCTTTCCTAATAATAAGGCACATTCATCTCTCCTGACCTCACTTCGGAGATGACAAAGAACGAACAATGGCCATGTCAAAAGAGCCACAGCCACACGCAGCCTATTCATTGCACAAACTATGCCTGATGCATGCCCAAGGACAAAGCTATTAAGAAGTTCATCATTTGGGACCAGCAGATGCCATAATGGTTACATAGCTGGACTCCCACTTAGCTGACCAACAGTTCAAGACCCGAACCTAGTGACTTAACATTTTTGCTAGGCACATTGTGTGCCCAAAATCCTGAGACGTGACCGGAGGAGAAGAGAGTGCAGCATGGCCAACATTCCTGGGGGTGATTTCTTGCTTTTTGTCTCTCTGGCAAGTGCATGCACCCTATAGCAAAACAAAACAAAACAAAACAAAACAAAACAAACAAACAAAAAACCTCTCTCAAAAAAAGAAAATAAAAAAAGGAAAGAAATTCATCATTCAAAGCATAGTAGAGGCCGTAGTCATCAGAGACATCTCCAAAGCAAGTGTCTTTGATGTCTATATGCTCCCCAAGCTGTACGTGAGACGATATTACTGTGTGAGTGTTCCATTCGTAGTAAGGTAGTCAGGAACCGATATCGCAACACTCCAAAGGACTGGATGCCCCTACCCCCTTTTAAAACTGTGGGTGCTTCTCTATACTCTCCACCAAAGCCCATGTAAGGAGCTGAGTCTATAAAGGCTGAAGAACTGTCCTCTGGGAAAAAATAAAATGCAAATTATACATTAAAAAAAGTAAAATAAGGCATATTCAGATTTTTTTCAATGTTTTCTTCACTTTGTTACCAAAATCTGAATTCGTGCTAGGGGCAGCACTCTTAGAGGAACTTTTCATAATCACCTAAAATATTTCTCACTCTAAAATAGAAATTTCCTGTGTCCCACTCTTGTCCAGCAATTTTCCAGTTCTCTCCCATCCTTACTCCCACCTGTTCCTTGACTTAACCAAATCCCTTTCCTCTGTTTCTTTCCAATGTACGACCATTATATTGATTTGGACTGGAAGACCTGATCAACTCTGGAATATTGTTACTATCCCTCCCTTTGACTTTGTGATTAGGGAACTTGCTTTCTTTCTTTTAAAATATATTTATTTAATTTTACTTATTATTATTATTATTTTAATTTGCTATAGAGCATGTGACCTCACCAGAGAGAGACAGAAAGAGAGAGAGGGAAAGTGAGAAAGCAAGTCACCAGGTCCAGGACTCAAATCACTGTCAGCCATGGCCAAGAGTGCAGCACCTTAACCATCACTCCAACTGTGGCCCTTACCTGTCTTTCTATATGACTCCTGCTAGCCCTCTTCCGTTGCTCCAATCTCTTTCTTTAAGTCTCTCTCTCTCTTTTTAAAAGAATTATTTATTTAACTTTATTTATTCATTCATTTATTTTTTATTTTGACTGGAGAGAAACACAGAGTGAGAGAGGAAAAGTGAGAAAGCAAGTCACCAGGTCTAGGACTTGAACTATGGTTGGCCATGTGGCAGTGTCCAGCGCTCTAACCACCAGGCCACCTGTTGGTTCCCTTAAGTCTCTTTTCTTAGACTTCCCTAAACATACTCAACAGATGCCCTAAAACCAGAAAATGGGAAATGTGAAACCAAATGTCATTATTTTTTATACTGATCGTAATTGTATTTTTCACCAATACCACAATCATCATTACTTTCCTACTGAGTTCAAAATACCTTCACTGACATCTGCTTGGAGTGAATCTGTATTATCGTCATTGAAACCATCATTGTTCTATGAATAAAAGTCCAATAATTCTGATCCTGAAGAGGCCAACTATTAATAGCTGCTGAATTTCCTCTGTGATCAAAGAAAGATTTTACAATGTTTCATCATGGCATTTCTTTGAATACCAGTTGATTTTTATCCATGGGGTGACTTGGATTTCCAGACGTAAAGCCATATTTGGAGCCAGAAAGTCTGGACTGGTTCTAGGTTGTGGAATGTCAGGATGATGATAATGATTAAACAAATGCTAGAAACTTGATTTTTAAAAAAAATTTTTTTCTGATGAAAAAGATGAGGCAACCTTTGGAAGAGTCTTTAAAGGTAAGTAGAGGGTCCTCATGAGAGTTTACTTCTCCAAATCAGACTTCACTGGACTGCTGCCTGACTTTCTTGGTAAGATAAACACTGCATGGTCAGTACAATTTTCTAAAACTGTGGAACGACTTGTCTGTGTCTTTTCCAAGGAGCCATGCTACGGTGAAGTGTCTTGGCACTGGTACCAAAGAAACACTACCTTGACCATCATATACTATTAGGAGGTTGGGAAAGCTATGCAAAAATGCATCATGATTTTCTTGACAACCCAATACCATTCCTGTCATCAAACTCTTGAATCCATTCATACCATTCTTACTCAACGAAGATTTGAACAAATATTTATTAAATAGTATACCACATGGGAATATCAATGAGCCTTCTTTGAGGAGTGCTAGCTGGCTGTTATCAGGGTCTCTTCATCTCTTGTGGGGCTGTTATAATAGTTTAAAGTTTTGGTGACTCTGAGTTCATGATCTTCTTGAGATAAAATTGAGCTAATTAAATTCACAGGAAATTGAAGTTTGAGTGAATGCCAGCCTTTTCATTTGTAATGCTAGCTATCCCTTTGCAGAGAGTAGAATGGCCCCCTTCTCTAAGCTAAAATGATCTCAGATATCTGCTTGATGATGGTACTGGGAAAGAGAAATAGACTATAAGAAGAAAAATATCAATGTTTATACAGAGCATTCGATGTGCCAAGCACTGTTGTAAGAACTTTACTATGCTTTCTTTATTTTCTGTATAGTTCGTTTATTTTCTATTTCATTTATTTCTGCTCATGTCTTTATTATTTCCTTTCTCCTTGAGATTTTTTTACTTGTTTTGCTGTTGCTTTTCCAGTTCTCTGAGGCACGATGGTAGGTGATCCATATATCCTCACTTAATATATACTGAGTATCCGCACTCTATGACTGAGCCTGATTGACTAAAGGATATAGAAACACAGTAAATGGTTGGGAATATAATATATAGTGTGGATGAAAGAGGAAGGATATTTAGAAGAAGGAGAGGCAAAGCATTAATGGGACAAAGAAATGTGGTATTATCTGTTGAAGATAATTTTATAGTATTGTCAACTGGACTAGGGCAAAATGTATACATGTTGGAATATTCACTCTGTAAGCTAAATAACATGACTGAATGAATAAAAGAACATGAAATTTAAAAAAAGAACTTTACCTATGTTAACTTCTTACAGCAATTCTTCAAGGTGATGCTTTGCTGCTCTTATTACTATTACTTTTATAGATAAGAAAACTGTCTGGCTTCAAAATATGAGTTCTTAGCCACCATGATTTAGTTTGGATGATATTTCATTTGTGTACCAAGAAACCCTTCAAAGTATCTCTTTACCACAGCAAGGGCTTACCTCTCCAGGGACCAGATAAACCATGTACCCTGAGACCCACACTTCCCTGAACAGTACTATATGGATAATAACCAATCCCTGAACCCTATTTGTAAGGTCACTTTTCTTCTCTCCTAAGACTATGTTTCTTAGACCCATTCATCTTTTTCTTTCTTTCTCTCATTGCTAGAGGGCACCTGTGCTATAGAGGAGAGAGAAAGAGAAAGAGAGAACGTATCCTCCAACCCACCAGTGGGGCACAGTCACAGTGCAATTATATTTCTCCATTTCTTCATCTTATCAGGATTTGGGACACTCACAAAAGGATCTGGAGTATTTTTCAAGCCACTGGAGCTGGAAAAGTCAGCCATGTAGGATTTAGCTCCCCACACACAGGGCTTAAGCACTGCACTATGGGGCTAGCCCTAGACCTGTTCTTCTTTTCTTTTCTTTCTTTTTTTTTTTTTTTGGATTGAGATAACATAACATTACTGATTTGTATTCTTGTGAGTCATCTTATTCTAGCCATCCCAAGTTGGTCTAATATACCCAATCTTCATGAATTTATATTCCTCAGTCAACAAATGTTAATAATTCCTTGTTTGTGCCAGGTCCTTTGCTGGAACCTGGGGAAACAGAAGTGAATCAGACAAGGGTCACGTTTGGTACTTCTTATACAGTTGGTTCTCTTGATGTCTGAGGATAACCCAGCTGCTGGACATTGGCAGGAGTACATGAGGTACTGACCTTCACATATTATCTTCCGTAACCATCAGTCGATGATCCTTGGAGAGAATAAGGTGGAAGGATCACAGACAGTGTTGTCTCAGGTTGTCTGTGGTCTTCTGGGCTTAACTGGTCTCACCAAGGGGCCCTACATCTGCCTATTACTTTGAGGAAAGCCCTCTTCACATCTTTGTTTCTGAGGCTATAGATTATAGGGTTGAGGAAGGCAGAGATGACATTGTAGAACAGGGCCAGTTTCTTATCTCTCTCTGGAGAGGCATTGGCCCCAGGGTTCATGTACATAAACATGGCAGGTCCACAGAACATGGTGACCACAGTGATGTGGGATGCACAGGTGGAGAAGGCCTTGAGTTGACCCTGGGCTGAGCGGATCCTCAAGATGGTAGCAAAGATGCGGACATAAGAGGCCAGAATGAAGAAAAGAGGTACCAGGAGAAGGATGAAGCCCAGGATAAAATCAACTTGATCATTGAGGGATGTATCTGCACAAGCCAGCTTTAGGACAGCAGGGACCTCACAGAAGAAGTGGTTGATCTCATTGGGGCCACAGTAGGGCAGACGCATGGTGAATACAGTGTAGACTAGGGAACAGCTGACACCCCACAGTCCACAAAAGCCTACCATTGCCCCACACAGCCATGGGCTCATAATAACCTTGTACTTGAGTGGATGGCAAATGGCCACATACCTATCATAGGCCATGACAGAGAATAGCCAGCCCTCAGTAATGCCCAAAACCAGAAAGGTGTACATCTGGGCCACACACCCAACAAAGGAGATGGTTTTCTTCTGGGAGACTAGATGCACTAGCATCTGGGGCACAGTGGTGGTGACGTAGCTCATATCCAGCATAGAAAGGACACTGAGGAAGAAGTACATGGGTGTTTGGAGGCGGGGGTCCATGTGGATCAAGGTGACAATGAGCCCATTGCCCACAAGTGTAGAGAGGTAGAGGAAGAAGAAAATGTTGAAGAGGATTGCATTAATTTGGGAATCCCTGGAAAAACCCAGAAGGATGAACTCAGATACAGAGCTGTGGTTCCTCCAAGGGAAGTCCTGCATTCTTCTTTAGCTGCTGAAAGAGAAATAGACCTACTGCTGATCCAGTTTAGACTCATGTACCATGGCCGCTCTGTTTCTGGAAAGGTCAGTAATTATTTGAATCTTACTTGAGGTTAATGTTGATTTAGAGAATTTGGTCTACCTGGGAGGAAACTAAATGTGACAAGGGGAGGAAAATATTCATGGATATTCAGCTTTTCAGGCCAAAGTATTTTCTCAAAATCCCCAGAGTCTCATTTTTTTCTTTCTTTTTTCTCTTCTTTTTTTTTTTTTGGAAAGGTTTTTGCTACAGGGCATGTGTGCTCACAGAAAGCCAGAGAGAGACAGAAAGCGAGAAATCACCCCCCAGGGGGATGGCCATGCCACAATCCCTTCTTCTCCATTCTCCTCTCGGGATCTTGGCACGCATGCACATGTGCCAGGTGTGAGTTCAAGCCACCAGGTACAGGACTTGAACCGTGGTTGGCTACATGGGAGCCCAGTGACACAGCCATTACACCAACTGCTGGTCCCTCTTTTCTATCAGCCCTAGCAATACTACTTGCTTTCCCTTCAGGAGTTACCATCATATAGTGAATTGCTTGGGGCTCTTCTCCCTAGTCCTAACTAAAGAATGAGATGATAAAGATTTAAAACTCTCTCTTTCTTCTTTTCTTAAAGTATTTGGAGACCTCACCTTTGATGTCTTAAACTTTTGATGACTAAAAAAATAGACAGAGGAGTTGGTAATGTGAGGAGGATATATGCCTCCTTGAAAATGAAAAGTTTCTAAAAATACTTTTACCTGAGTCTGTTTCTGGACTCTTTTGAGCCTCTGGAAGTTTTCTTATATTTGATTTTATTTTATATGGAGTTGCTCACCAACTCTGCCACTTCCTGGCCTTATCCATATCTTTAAGGATGAATTTTCCTGCTTGACTCTAAGAATTGACCATACATGAGATAGAATAATAGTTTTCTTTTTTGCTTAAAGGCAGCATTGACATCTTTGAAGCCCTCCAGCTTGGTCAGAATACCCCTCCAAATAATAATCTATCAAGAACAGCCAGTAACTTGGTGGTTAAGGTACTGGATGCCCACATGGCTGACTGTAATTTGAGTCCTGGATCCAGTGGCTTGAAAATCACACTGGGTGCATGTACATACATGCCCCAAATCTTGAGAATGTAGGAGAAGGGATTGTGTTGTAGCCAACTCCCTTGTGAGGGGTGATATTTCACTTTCCCTTTCTGTGATCAGCTCGTGTGCCTATGTCAAAAAACAAACAAAACAAACAAACAAAACAAAACCAAAATCTAGCTCTTAGAGGTTTTTTTTGTTTTGTTTTGTTTTTTTCCTTGAGGTTTATGGTTCATAGGGAGCTCAGTATAAAGTTTGCTTGGGTTTAGCTTATACTTTCAAAGATGAAGACTTGGGACCAGCAGTTGGCGTAATGGCTATGTCGCTGGACTCCCACGTAGTCGATCGCGGTTTGAGTGCCGGACCCGGTGGCTTAAACTCACGCCAGGCGCGTGGGCGTGCATGCCCAAGATTCCAAGAGGAGAATGGAGGAGAAGGGATTGCAGCGTGGCCATCCCCCCTGGGGGGTGATTTCTCGCTTTCTGTCTCTCTGTCTCTCTCTGTTTGTCTGGCGAGCGCACACGCCCTATAGCAAAAACCTCTACAAAAAAAAAAAAAGATGAAGGCTTATCCCCTTGTTTATAGTGCCATAAGAGGCAATGTTTTCTGGCGGTGAACCATGGGACTTGAAATCAGAACAAGTTCAAGTCTTGGTACTTGAACTCAAGTTCAAATTACATGACTTGTGGCCCTATTCTGCAATTTAATCTTGAGTCACTTCAATTTCCTTCACTGTGAAATGGACATAATATCTACCAGGATGTTACCCTATGAAAAATGATATATGATATGAATATGATGTGCAAGAAGTGACTAGCAAGCACAAAGTGGGAACTAGTGCTCATCAAATGCTCTTTCTCATGGTGTCATTCATTGAATGGGCAACAAATACTGATTAACTACTGTGTATCTGACTCGGTTCTACAACCTGGAGTGATATGAAAAAACAAGGGCAAGGAAAAAGCATATTACCAATATTCAAAGTGTTTACAATATTGTTGGAGAACTGGAGGAACTATTTCCAAGTATTCTCCAATGTATTCAGTACTCTAATGGAAATATGTGTAGTCAGTCACAGAAATATGTGTAGTTCTGTGCTAAGAACTACAGAGGTTGAAAAACAATCTCTGCCCTCAAGGAGCATGCACAGTGAGGAAATAGGTCAACCATGAATGGCCATTGGTAAGTGCTGTGATACGAATAACTACAGGGTGACATTGGAGGCCATAAAAGGAGCATCTGCCCTGCCCAATCTTTTGGAGCCAGACTTAGCCAAGAGAAGAACATTTGATATGAATCTTAAAGAGTGAGTAGGAGTTAACCAAAAAACTTAAGGAAGAGTTTTGTAAACAGATAGATCAGGATGTGCAAGGGACCATAGTAGTGGGCTTTGTGCAACCAGAAAGCACAAGTAATAGTTTGAGGTCAGACTTAGCTGTACAGGGGTAGGAGGAAAGACGATTCCTGGAGGATAAGCCTGAGACATGGAAAGGAAAAGGTAATAAAGAGTTTTGTATACCTTCCTAAGAAGCATAGATCTAATTCTTTAGGCTGGGAAAAGTCTTAAGTGAGTTTTAAGCAGAAGAGTTTAATTTGTTCAGGCTTAACTTTTAGAAATGTACTTCTTGGATAGAAGTTAGGAGAAGGCATTGGAAGAAGACCAGGTGACCAGCAGTTAACATAATGGCTATGTTGCTGAACTCCCATGTAGTCGACTGCGGTTCGGGTCCCAGATCTGGTGGCTTAAACTCACGCCGGGCGCATGTGCATGTGTGCCCAAGATCCCGAGAGGAGAATGGAGGAGAAGGGATTGCAGTGTGGCCATCCCCCCCCGGGGGGGGGTTCTCACTTTTTGTCTCTCTGTTTTTCTGGCGAGTGCATGTACCCTATAGCAAAAAACCTCTCAAAAAAAAAAAAAGAAAAGAAAAGAAGACCAGGTAAAGGGTGGGGAAAAGGGCAGAAGAATGTTAGTGTTCCAAATTATGAAGAAGAGAAGAGGTATTATGGAGGGATAGAATAAGTTGAATCACGAGTGTGTGGTAACTAAAGATTTTAGGAGGTGAGACAAGGAGGAGATTAGGATGAGCATGAAGTTTCAGCTTCACTTGTCATTAGCACTATTCAACAAGATAGAACCTAGATGGAGCCAGAGGAGGGAAAAACAGAGTGATATAGGAAATGGCAGGTAGATAATACTTAATTTTGTTAAAGACATGTGAAATTTGCAACATGGATATCCTTGAGGATCTGGCTATCAAAGAATTGGACATATAGCCTTGGAACTCAAGAAGGAGATCTAAGTTGTTAGATAAAAACTTAAGCAGGGGCCGGTCTCACAGTGCAGTGGTTAAGTGCTGTGTGGAGGAGGCTAAATCCTACATGGCTAACTATATTTTGAGTCCTGGCCCCAGGAATTTGAAAAAAAAAAAAAAAAAAGACAAAAAGCTTGTGTAGAATTTGGAGAATAATTAAAACACTGAAAAGATAAAAACTCTCAGCAAGAGAGCATAGACTCCAAAGGCGTAACTCAGGAGCACAAACATTGGAGAGATCAACAGAGAAAGAGACAAGTCTTGAGAAAGGCATCCAGGGAGGCAGGAAAGCATGAAGCAGAAACCCAGGGAACTAACACCTCCAGAGAAGGGACTGTCAAAGGTGCTAATTGCTACTGAGAGGGCAAGGGAGAAAGGGAACAAAACTGTCCAAACAATGGAATACTACGGAAGTTATTAGAGGCTTGAGTATGAGAAGTTTCTGTGAGGAAGGTCAAAGTCAGATTGTAGTGGGTTCTGAGGAGTAAACTGGGCTGGGAAGAGGATTAAGAGGGGGAGATATCTAGAACAGGACATATGTGAAGGGAGTGTTGTTGTTGTTGTTGTTTGTTTTTCCTAAGAGGGAAAAGTGTTCAGGATGTACAGTCAATGAGATGAAAGTCAAAAGAGAAGGAGGGAGAAACGATGGAGCAAGGCCTCTGAGGAAGCTGACAGCAGTTAAGACCAGGAGCATCAGTCATGAGAGGTGGCTGCCACAGGAGTTGGAATGGAAGGAGAGCAGGTGAGAACGAGGTAGACATAGATACAGTTCACTGTGACCACCAGAAAATTCAAGATTGCATTCCCATGAACCAGCTAATCTCAAAGGTTCTTCCTTTATAACGGGTCGTGTACACTATGAAGAACGAGATCTGATTCAGTGGTTGAAAGTCACATTTCAAATCTGGATAGTACAAGAGGCTGATGTCACCAAAAAAAAAAAAAAAAGTGACAACACAAATGTAAAATCTTCTTTCCCTCCCTTGGTTCAGAAAGCCAACTAGCCCAAGCTGCAAATTTAAACAGAAACATGTAGAAAGTCACTAGGAGGTTGCATCATTGAGAAAGGATCGTGGCAGATGATGAGAGGTGGTACAGAACCAGACCACATGTGGATCTTCTCACTTCTGGGTCACATTTTTAAGAGGAACGTGGATAAATTGAAACAGGCTATAAAGAAGGGTTTGGAACGACATCATGTGATAAGAGTTGAAGCAAATAGGAATGTTTCTCCTGCAGCCCTGGAGGTGATGGGGCATTCTAGAAACTGAGGACCGACTCACCAAAAGGCTTTAATGTGGGGGATAGATGAGACTCGCTCTGGCCGGTTCCAAGAGGTGCAGTTGGGACTTACCCCAAGAAGGCAGGTTGCAGCTGAATATACCAAGTTCTATTAGTGAGAACAGTCCATAGATAGGATCAACTTTCCTGGAAGGTGAATTTCTTTTTTTTTTTTTTTTTTTGAGAGAGATTTTTGCTATAAGGTGAGTGTGCTCACTGGGGAGAGAGAGAGAGAGAGAAATCATCCCCCCACCTCCGGAGGGGGAAATGGCCATGCCACAATCCCTTCTCCTTGATTCTCCTCTCAGGATTTTGGACACACATACACACACACACACACACACACACACATGCCCAAGTCAGGGACTTGAACTACAGTTGACTACGCGGGAGTCCAGTGACGTAACCATTACCCTATCTGCTGGTCCTAGTAGTGAACTTCTTGACCCCGTAAGGGGATAAAACAAGAACTCACTGGCCACATGTCAAGGATGCATTGTGACCAGTCTTGAACTGGTGAAGTAGGAGCATCTCTGGTCCATTCCAGCTGGAAGAGTTGAGGACTTTGCTATCACTCTACCCTGTCATCTTCCAGCTTCGCCTGGACCTGATACCTGAATTATTTCAGTAGTCTTTCAGTAAGAATCCCACTCCCAGTTCCTGCTACAAACTGACCAGAATATGGTAAGAATGGAGAAAGAGGAGGGTACAGAGGGAATAGAAATAAAAGGGCCAGGAATAGAAAAATCGGCGCCCACAAGCCCTGGTCTGCGGCTGTGCCACAGAGGAAAGCCAGGGTGTCAATTTCCTGTTAGTGACTTCCCTCTCCTCCAATGAAAGAATCATAGCTCCTCCCAGTTCTAATGTCTCCTCCCATCTCCTTGACCCCCTTAAACTCTCAAAAAGCCCTTTTCCTAACTGCTGTGTTAACTAGTATCCCCCAGCTTTACCTCTCCTGCCAGTCCCTTGTCCTGTATCCTCAGTCCAAGGATCCCAAACCTGACTACTCAGGTGCAGGGAAGAGCCAACTCCTTAGCTCCATAGCAGTGACCTCCTCCTTTTATTTCTCTTTTCCCAACTGAGACACACCCAAAAGACAAACAATGAGGAACACACACACACACACACACACACACACACACACACATCTCTACAGAGAGTAATCAACCACAGAACAGGACAGAGATTAGGCAGGAGAGTAGATGTCCTTGCCTGAAGGTTCCGATGGGAATGGAAAGAGGTAGAGGCAGGCGGGCGGCCAGCTAGTCAGACAGAGGCAGGGACAGGTGGGGAACCTCAGGCAGTGGTGGCCCAGGTATGGGGGCTGCATGCCTCAGGCCCCTGTCTCCAACCTTTCACTCCTTACCTGGCTCTGGGCTCTGTGTGAGGGCTAGCCAGCAAACTGCTGGGTTTTCCTTTAATGTTCTGCTCCTGATCCTCAGGGAAGACAAATTAGGCAGCTTTTTAATGAGTCTTCTGTGCCTTGGGATGCTCCAGGCTGTTTAGAAGTCCTCCTGATCCCTGAGCACTTAAGTCACCTCCTCAGCCTGGAACTTGAGGCTTCCACACCTAGGCCCCCAACTCTCGCCACATGACACCCCCTGTTTCCCCTGGCCTCTCCCTGTTCTGCCTTAGTCCAGTGGGTACAGATGTGTAAACATCAGTTGAAGTAAGTCCATGGATTGAGAAACGCAAAGGGCAAAGGCTGGCCCGGGGTTCTGGAGATCACTAAGAATGAAGAGGGTCTCCCCGGCTGGTGGGGCTCAGGGAGGGGCTCTTCTTTACTCTCAGAATGCTCCACTCCAACCTCTTCACCGTTCTCTTCTGGGCACTGGCCTGCACTGAGTACTGACATTCCATGGTCCTTCCAAAACTGATTTTCTGCAGGGAACAGAATATGTCCCAAAATAACAGAACCGGGATCAAGATGAAGCAACTGATAAAGCAAAGCCCTGGGTAGTAGGAAAACCTGAGATAAAATCCTTGACTCTGCCACTTAGTAATGGTGTGATATTGAACAAGAGACCAGCCTTGGTCTACCTCAGTTTTCTCATTGGTAAAACTGGACAATAACAATATGAGCAGATATGAAATGCTGTAGTAAAATAAGCATATGCTTTATGTTTGGCCTGACTCCCCAGTGTTTGACAGATGGTCTGCTTGTCCTACACGTTTAGCTTGAAAAACATACCCAGCACGTGTGTACATGTCTATATTTATTCTTTTTTTTGAGAGAGAGAGATATTTGCTAGAGGGTGTGTGTGTTTGCTGGAGAGACAGAGAGACAGAAATTGAGACATCACCCCTTAGGGGGAATGATCATGCCACAATCACTTCTCCTCCATTCTTCTCTCGGGATTTTGGGTGTGTTTGCACATGTGGCTGGCGTGAGTTTCAAGCCTGTAGGTCTGGGACTCAAGCCATGGTTGGCCATGTGGGAGTCCAGCAATATAATCATTACACCATCTACTGGTCCCAAATCTCTATTTTTGTAACCAAACTCAGCTTTATCAAGTTTTTTATCTTTTTACAACTTATCTCTCTCAACCACCCTTGCTTCCTGAGTGGGGCAGAACACACAGCAGGTACTCCATAACTGTGATCAGTTCTAAGCATAGAGATCTAGCTCCTTGGATGATATAATATGAGAAGCCTGAATATAATATGAGTATCCTTCTTTGATATAAAACCACTGCCTCTGGGACCAGAGATGGCAAATATAGTCACTGTGTTAGTGGGAACTGTCTAGCCCACTGGGTTGTGACAGATTCTGAACAACATCAAGGCTCACCAAGAAAAAACTGCCATGATTGATCAGTGACATCTCCCATGAGCACTGAAGGAGAGAATTAGTGGGACATATTATAGATAGTACGGTATTTTCAAACTCCCCATTATTATTATTTTTAAATCATTCTCTCCTTCATTAGTATAGTCAGTTTAATCCAACAAACAATTTCTGACATCTACTCTGTATCACATTTTATGCAAATATTAAAGGCACATGGGCTGTGCCTTCTGTTCATGGTTTAATTAGGATAAATGTTAAGACATCCCAGTATACTGTGATAAGGATCGCACAGGGCACTGTGCAAGGTACAGAGTTAGGAGTGATCATTTTTGCTTGTTGTCAACAGACATGAAGATTTCACTGAGGGACCCTTGGGAGAACAGCATATACAAAGGCACAGAGTGCTATGGAAACACAAAGAAGAAAATTCTCTTGGGGGCAAGGAGGCAGACCTTCTGAAGGAGAAGACAATGAGACTGAGACTCTGGAGCCCAGGTGACTAGACTGGCCCATAGGGTTAGGACAGATGGCAAATTCAGACTGAAGCTAATTTTATGAGTTGAATTGTATCTCTCAAAAAGATTATATTGAGGAACCAGCAGTTGTAATGGCTATGTTGCTGGACTCCCATGTAGTCGACCACGGTTCGAGTCCTGGACCCAGTGGCTTTAACTCATGCTGGGCGCATGTGCGTGTGTACCCAAGATCCTGAGAGAAGAATGGAGGAGAAGGGATTGCAGTGCGGTCATTCCCCTGAGGGACGGTGGAGTGATTTTTCACTTACTGTCTCTCTGGCAAGCACACATACCCTATAGCAAAAAAAACTCTCAAAATAAAAAAAGAAAGGGATATGATAACACCTACCTCTAGTGTTACTATAATAATTAAAATGAAAAGTGTATATGCAGTTCTAAGACAGATATTGCCATGTAGAAGGGCTTAATAAAGTTAGTTTTTATTTAGACACAATGAATATCATGAAACACATTCTACATATATGAAAATTAAATCTCAGAGAAGCTAGGTGACTTTTCCAAAGCCACAGAAGGTTAATAACGTATTTAAACTTTAAACACAGTTCTCTCGGAGTCTTTTCCTAATAGTTCCATTGGAAAATCAATTTTTCCCTTGACTTCTTCATTGTGAGATAAATTCACTCCAATGACTTTGGCAAAAGTGTGGATAGTGTAGATGAGAGACCAGAGGCATGACAGATAGCCCTAGTCCACGGCTTATTCAGTGTCCTCACTCATTCCAATGAACTTAAGGAAAGCCCTCTTTACATCCTTGTTCCGGAGGCTATAGATGATGGGGTTAAGAAAGGCGGAGATTACGTTGTAGAACAGGGCTAACTTCTTGTCATCTTCCGGGGAGGCTTCAGAGCCTGGCCTCATATACATGATCATGCATGGGATACAGAACATGGTGACCACAGTGATGTGTGAGGCACAGGTGGAGAAGGCCTTGATTCGTCCTTGGGTGGAACGAATCTTTAGAATAGCCACAAAGATGCGGACATATGAGGCCAGGATGAGAGATAATGGAATCAGAAGCAAGATGAAACCCAAGATAAAGTCCACTTGGTCATTGAGGGATGTGTCTGCACAGGCCAACTTCAAAACTGCAGGAATCTCACAGAAGAAGTGGTTGATCTCATTGGGGCCACAATAGGGCAGTTTCATTGCAAAGACTGTATAAACAAGGGCACAGGCAAGACCACAAAGTGCTGAGCTGACTGCTAGGAGTACACACAAGCCTTGGCTCATCTGGACCCCATAATGGAGTGGATGACATATGGCAACATATCTGTCATAGGCCATGGCTGCAAAAATCCAGGTCTCAGTGATACCTAAGGTCAGGAAAACATACATCTGGACCACACACCCAACATAAGAAATGGTCTTATTTTTGCTTGCTAGATGAACCAGCATCTGGGGCACAGTGGTGGTGGCATAGCTGAGGTCCAGTAGAGAGAGAATGCTGAGGAAGAAGTACATGGGAGTGTGGAGGCGAGCATCTACTCTGATCAGGGTGACAATGAGCCCATTGCCTAGGACTGTAAATAAGTAAAGGAAGAGGAAGATGAAGAAAAGAATCCAGTTGGTTCTGGGATTTCTAGAGAAGCCCAGGAGGACAAATTCAGTTATAGAGCTGTGATTTTCTCGACTATGAATGGCTTTCATTCTGAGGAAAGAAGAGAACATATTCTTGATATCTTTGAAGCCTGAAAGAAAAAATGCTCTGTGAGTTCCACAGGTGTGGCTAAAAGAGCCCGGGGAATCCCCCCCTCCGCACCCAAGGAATATTCCATCCGTTAGTCCGGCATAGCTCTGGGAATGTAGTAGGGATCCTATAAGTGCTTGTTGCTTTGTCTAATTAATTTGCCTTGATAAAATTCCAAGGGCCACATGGTGGGAACTGTACAAAAAAGTCTTAATTTTACTAACAAACTCACTCCCTCCCAATATACACACACAGAACATACACACACATAGAGTAAACCAAACTGAAGAGAATAAGGAAATACAAAATGTTTTACAGCAAGCCAAAAAGTTCTAGGCCTGTATGTAGCTCCTAAAATGATTCTTTCAAATATCAGGACTAATGGGTGCTAGAAAGAATAGTATAAACAAACAAATCACTTTCCTTCTTTTTGCTTTCTTTCTCTCTGATGCTGTACCTTTGAAAATGTCACATAAACTGTTTTTGGCGTGAGAAAAGAGTCTTTCCCTTAGAACTTTTATTCCCTCACTCACCTTCCCAACCTAACCCTCAGTGACTGTGAAGAACATGTGAAGATGACCAGGGAGACTCAAGAATTGAAACCCACTCTGCGGCGTTGGCATTTCTGAAAGAGATGAAACATATTACCTGGGAATGAGGTGCCTGTGTGTCTGGAACTTTTCTTAAAAACTAGTGAGGAATTCTCCACAGCCACAACGTTTATAGGAGAAAGTTGAGAAGCGGGTAGAGATGGATCTTCAGTTTGATTTTAACTCAGTCCTTGACCTTACGTTGGCAGCAGCAGCACCTGTTGTTGACAAGTTCCTTCCTCTTTGTTCTTTTGATAGTCCTTAAATAACTGCAACAGAACACTTTCTGTTTAATAAGTGTAATTCTATTAGATTAATATGGATATCTAATAATCTAATAGAATTACACTTATCCACTAAGGTCCATATCCTTATTTTTATTTTCATGAAATCAACCAACCAAGGTTAAAAAAAATAGTAAGTTATAGAGCCATCACTCAAACTCCAGTTCTCATTCCCTTACCACATTAAGGTAAACATGTCTCTCACATCACCAGATTCCATGCAAGATTCATCAGGGCACCAAACCAAAATTGGTCTGCTCATGATGACATTGTGAGAGAAAACTGGTTTGTTATACTTATAGTTTTGAAGGGCATAAAGTACATATTGCAAAACATTGCAAATTTGTACATTTTTTAAAAAATAGAAAACCACAAAATCTTGGATCAGAATTTTATTTATTTATTTAAAGAATTACTTAATTTATTATTATTTTTAAAAATTTGACCAGAGAGAGAAAGTGAGAAAGCAAACTGCCATTTCCAGGACTCAAACTGCAGCCAGCCATTTGCATGTCCAACACCTTAACCACCATACCACCCACCAACCCAGAATTTTAATGTCTAAGACATTGCACAGGAAATGAAAGGCTGACAGCTATAAATTGACAGATATCAATTTATATCACCCCATAAAGCCCACAGGACTCAGGTTCAGATGGATGAGGAAAATGATGCTCATGCTCATGTTAGAGGCAGTATGTACTAGAATGGGAGTTGGGAGGATCTGAATTTCCTGACTCTAATTGTGGCTACATCCTAAGGTTTAAATGCCAACTATATGCCGAGAAATCTGGAATGTGTCACTATCCTGGATCTGTTTCTTGAATTCATCTACTCAACCGCCTACTTGATATCTATCCTCATTGGGCTGTCTAATAGGCAAGTTGAACTTTATACTTTCAAAATCAAGTTTCCAATCTTCCCTAGTAAACTTGTGTCTTGCATAGCTCAGTACTTTCTCAGCTCATTTAATGGCAATTCCATCCTTTGCGGTCACTAAGATATAAAAATATAAATAAATAAATAAACTTAAGCCAGCAGGTGGTGTGATGGTTAAGTCACTGGAGTCATATGGCCAACTTTATGGTTCTACTCCCAGACCTGGTGGCTTGAAAGACCTGCTGGGTGCATGTGCATGCATGCCCAACATCCCAAGAGGAAAATGGAAAACAGGAAATTATGGTGTGATCATCTCCACCAGAGGAACAATTCCTCACTTTCCCTCTCTCTGTCTCTCTCTGGTGAGAGCACATAGCCTACGACAGAAACAAATGAAAACTTTGTGTTCCTAATTTCTCTCTTTCTTCCACACCACACATACAATATATCTACAAATATTGCTGTCTCCCTTTTGAAGACATACTTTCCTTTCAAAGATTGCTTCTCATTATCTCCACTAGTATCCCTCTGGTCCAAATCATCACCTTCTCTTGTTAGGATCCCTTAACTAGTCCCACAGCTTCCACTCTCTTCTCCTGTAGTAACTTACTAAATATGAGCATATCACGAAGATCATCTTATCAAAACCCTCCAGTGGCTTCTTGAATCACTCAGAGGAAAGCCAAAGTCCTTATGTGCGTCTTCTATCACCTCCTTGGCCTCATCTCCTTTCTCTTGCCTCTTGCTTTGTCCATTCTTGCCATGTTGCTGTTCCCCCTCCAGCCTCTTGCTACTCCTCACTTGCTTTTCCACTGCTGAAGTTCTCCCCAGATAGCTTTAGTCCTCACCTTATTTGTTCAAATGTTATCTTCCTTGGAAATAATTGGTTCTTTTCTCACCTTACTGCTTAAAATTTAAACATTCAGCATTCTTTATCCTTATCTTCTATTTTGTTTCTTCTTTGCCTTTAGCATCTTATAAGGTACTATGAATTTTTTTTAATGGTCATCCCTCAAAAAAATGCAGGGATTTTTATTTCCTTGATTTATTGTGTATCTCCAGATTCTAGAGCACCTGGAATAGAGTAGATATTTATAAATGTTGGGTAAATGAGCAAACTGAATCTGAGTTGGGTCCCTGAGGCATGAGTCGTTGGTGTTTGTTAGTTACACGGAACTATCTTTGGTGCTAAATCTTGCTTCCTCTACAGTTAGCCATTTAGCTGAGTGGCTGCTCAGAGCACTGTTTTTCTTGGGCCTATAGTTTAAATGGAAAGATGAGATCTGGATGCATGTAACTCTAAGAGCCTTGCTGGTGGGCTGCTTGTGGCTGGAGGGCTAACAACTGAGACCCATGGCTCACCACCCACCCACCCCCACCTTTGGACTCTCAGAACTTCCGGTGCTTTGTATATTGTATGGCACACGACCTCTTCTTTGTTACTGAGTTGAAGCTCAGGAGTTCAATTTCAGGCATACCTGTTCTCTAGAAACGGGAAGACTTTGGGTCACCCAGGACCAGTGAGAACAGTGCAAGGTGCTTGTGGGCAATAGGGAGGCAGAGCAGGAGAGAGATTTCTAATTTCCTGCTCCTGTACACCTTTGAACATTTGGAGACACCTTCAATAATTTAGAAAGGAACATACAGATTACTAGATGAGTAGGAACCATCATAGAGGCACAAGAAATATGAGCAACCAACCAAACGTTTCTTCCCCAAGGGAAAACATCAATTCCTAATCACCCACAGACAACACAATGGAACTCATGGAAATGTCAGAAAACAATTCAGAATATTTGCAGTGGCCAAACTAAATGATATGCAAGAAAAAAGAGATAATGAGCTCCAGTAGATGAGGAAGACCTTTCACAATTTGAAAGAAGAAGTAGACACCATAGAAAAAAATCAAACAGAATTACTAGAGATAAGAAGGTGATACAGGAAATTAAAACCTCCTTCAAAAGTATTAAAAGTAGATTAGGGAGACCACCAGGTGGTGTGGTGGTTAAGGTGCTGGACACTCCCACATGGCTGACCGTGGTTCAAGTCCCAGACCTAGTGACTTGCTTTCTCATTTTCTCTCTCTCTCTGTCTCTCTCTCTGGTCAACTTAAAATAAATTAATGAATAAATAAAATAAAATAAATAATTATTTTAAAAAGTAGATTAGGTTATGCAGAAGATTAAATCTCAAGTGTAGAAAATAAAAGGTCAGACCTAGAAAAAAGTATTGAAAAGACTAAGAAAACAAACAAGAAAAATGAGGATAATATATGAGAAATATTAGGTACTATCAAGTGCCCAAACATTCAGATAAGTGGTATCCCAGAAGAGGAAGAAAATAATGACATTGATAATTTAGTCCATGAAATCTTGGAAGAAAACTTTCCAAACCTAAAGAGGCAGTCAAATATCCAAATTCAGATAGCCAGATTGGCCAAAACCATAGACAAAGACAAGATATTAAAATTGACAAAAAGAAAATGTTAAGTTACTTACAAAGGTTACCCCATCAGGCTAATATCAGACCTCTCATAAAAAACAATGCAGGTAGGAAAGAATGGGGAAATACAGTTAAAGTGTTAAATGAAAAACAGTTTCAACCAAGATTACTATACCCAGCAAGATTATCCTCCATATAGGAAAAAAGATAAAAATATTCTCAGATAAATAAAACCTGAAAGAATTTACCAACTCCAGACCAGCTCTTCAAGGGAGTGTGATACCAGGAAAACTAAAAAGTCAGACAGTATTTAAGAAAGTAAAAAACAATCAAGAAAATGGCTCACTTAATGATAGGAATATGTCCAGATATATCAATAATAACTTTGAATGTTAATGGATTAAATTCTCTAGTCAAGAGGCACGGACTGGCTGAATGGATTTAAAAAACAAAACAAAACAAAACAAAACAGAAACCCTCTATCTGCTGACTACAAGAAACACAGCTTATGGATAAAGACATGCATAGACTTAAAGTGAAGTGCTATAAAAAGATATTCCATGCAAATGGAAATCAAAAAAGGACTGGAGTTGTGATACTGATTTCAGACAAAATAGGCTTTAAGACAAAGACTGTAAGAACAGACAAAGAAGAGCATTATATACTAGTGAATGGGCTAATTAATCAGGAAGACATAACGCTTATAAATATCTATGCACCCAACTCAGGAGCAACTAAATATGTGAAGGAAAGACTGCTGGAGCT